AGAATTATGGTCAATTAACACCTAAAGGGTATACAGAGGAAAAAAAGCACTTACTTCATGATAAGTATGTAGAATGTATACATAATGATGAGTATAAGGCTTTCCCACCTCAAAGAGACAAAAAAAGGTATTATAAGGCCATTCAAACAGCTGTATGCTTTACAAGTTTTATGTGGGAGTGTGCATTCAACATTTAGTACAAGTCACATTTGTGTACACAGGATTCACATCATTAAGATTAGATGGTGTCTCAGCAGAATGGGGGGAAGTAGACTCTGAAGTTCCAATAGACACGCAAATAAAATATAATGCATATACTTCAGAAATGTGCTGTGCAGACTGAAACCATAGCTACCCTCTGAGGAGCATAAAGGCAAGGCCTTTTGTCATTTCAGTGCTGAAGCACAGGCCAGGCACTCTTGAGAGGACCCTTTTAGAAGATGTTTATGACCTTCCACTAGGATCCCACCTTGGACTGTTCTTTGGGACACTTAGTACCCCCATAAATGTTAACAGCCACAATCAGAGCAGCAGAACTTTGGCTACCCTCTCTGCATATGTAAGTCTTCAGGCCTTACATGGAGCCTATTTACTTTGTTAATGTTTCCAGGTTCTCAAATTTTCTTTCCGTTTTCCTTGATCATCATAAAAAAATATAACCAAACACATAGCATTTCCTAGGTGTCAAATCCAGCTCATACTCCCAGCATGTATGAATGAAAGCTAATTATACTGCAACTCTATTTACTGATCAGTCTCATAGCAAATATGGGACTGTAGGGAATCATTTACACAACTTACCATATTATTTTCTCATCATATATGAACTAGAAGAAGGAGAAAAAAAGGAAACACATAAATTGACCATTTCTCTGCTCTATCTTGAAAAACAGTCAAAGTTATTTAATAAAAGTATGTCATACCCAGCAAGAAGCGAATCAAGTTTTGACCCTTTCTAACCAGAACTTTCACTGTATGGATTGTGCCCCTCACAAAGCACAAACCTTGTGAACAGGGCTTGGATCCTTCTCAGTGATTCTTATAAATACTTTTTAGTTAAACAGTGTGAGCACGTGAAAGACACACAGATATGCACACATGTACCCACACACTGTGGTATGTAAATGACAGCTAAGTCATGTATTCTGAAAAGACTTAGCTCTGAGTCCTTTTAACAGCTAGACCAGCTTTAGCAGAAAACACAGCCGTTTTACTTCTCTTCTTAGGCCAAGTGGTTATACACATTTTACTCCACCCTGTGTAACTCCTGTAACTGAACGGGCAGCTAGTGATCCATATTTATTATAAAACAAAGTGGATTCTTCCCCTCCTTGCCACCAGACACAGTAAATGCGTTCATTCAGGAACTACTACACTGCTCTAGATGAATAAAGTGGTACTTCATTTGTGCTCTATTTAGAAAAATTTACTCAGAATCTGTGAAATAAAATTACTGTGTAAAAACAAGAAACAGCCACCCTCCCTATTTAATTTAAAATAGAGGTGCAGCTCAAAATTTTTCATCTCCACAACAAGCAGTCCCCCCAGGTCAGAAGAGAGCCCTAACTGCAGTGTGTAACAGTGGCCTGCTCGCCTGCAGAACTTTACAGACTGTAGGTACAAAGTGGATGGACATTGATGGACACATATTCTGTGGGGTTGTATGAAGTTCTCATATTTGGACCATGTTGTGGAGCTGAACCCTCACTTCCAGATGTCACTAGAAACAGGTAGGAAAATAATTGTTTACCAGTGTACACCAATGGTTAGCAGTCTGGTTCTTAAAAAATTCAAGCAATGAAACACATTAATTAGTAAGAGCTACTTACAACAATAAGTACGATCACAGATATCGTGTAGTACACAGAGTCCCGGAACACAGCCCACTTGGTGAGTCTAACCACCTGGAGAAAAAAAAAAAAAAAAAATCACACCTTCAGCCAACAAAGATAGGTTATTTTAAAGACAAAACAAAGGCCTCTATCTTGCAATCACTTAGGTGTGTGAGCAGAATTATTATTAGCAATGATTCTGGAACCAACTGCAGTTTTATGCTAGCAGGAAAACGTATCTGTCTGCTAGACAATGGATCTATAACAACCATCAGCAATAAAAAATCATATAGAAACTTCCATTAATGAAATACATTTCTTACTAATGATATTCTGATTTGTCACAATTTCAGTTGTAAAGTACAATTCATTGTACTGCAGCAAATCAACGGACTTAATACCTGAAAAAACATGATACACAGTCTAACCATCTACTAAGTAGACAGCATAAAGCTCATGCTTGTGTCCTAGATTCTTTCATCACCATCAGTACCAGAAAGGATTAGTAGATGCCACTGATCAGTTGACTGTGAACACAGGATTGTATGAAGAGGAACCAGTTTCCTCTGTATGCTACATGTTCAGAGTGCTGAAACTACAGCTGAACTTTTTGGAAACATTTGCTATTTGTAAAGCATTTGTAAATTCTTTCCAACATTTGACATTTTTCACAATGCCAGCTCATTTTTGGTTTTGAGTAATGCTCCTTTTTTTTTCTTTTAATATTTGTTCATGGAAACCCCTAAATTGTAAGGAATTGAACTCCATAAAGATAAGTATCTTACTAACCTGTCCTGCAAACATTCCACAGACACCAATAATGCAGAGGATGTTGAAAACTTCTGAACCAACAATGGTCCCTACTCCTACATCTCCATGAGTGATAAATACACCTGCAGAGGGAGAAAAACATGCATAATCACCTCTGTAATTTCATTTTAGGTCACAGGCAATTACTTAGAATATGTACTACATTAGAACAAGAGACTGATTAAAAGTTTAACCAAAACATGTTTCATAATAAATGCTCACTTCTCTGTGGAATTTTTTGTGCTTTTAGTCTAGCTAACAGTTCCCCATTTTTGGCTTAATATCTCTACATACATATTTTTATTAAAAGTAAATTATTTATTAGCTGGTTAGTTCAACAGTAAGTCCTGTATTTCACAGCTTGTTAGTGGTGCAGTAATCCATTCAAATGAATATAAAACACCTCCAGCCACATCAGAAGCATGGAATTTATTTCAAACAGAATAATAAAGCACAGAAACCTTTCTCCCAGGTATTTGATATTTAGTGTGTTCTCCCTTGCAATGTCTCATGGGAGTAAGAGATTCTTCCCTCAAAAACCTCTGGGTGCTGTAATATTTGCCTTCTGACTCACAGACAACCAGGATTTAGACTTAACCTGTTCTAGTACCAACTTTGAGATTTCCCTTAGTATTGAACCCACCTGTGCCTCAGATATCTATTTGTAACATAATTGCATCAGAATGACAAAAATTAATGGCTGAAGAGGACCTCCAGGGTTTATCTAATGTAATCTTCAGCACTGAGACAGAACCAAAGGTAACGTGAATGCACTACAGAGCTGTACATACTTGTACTTTAAATCCTTATCTAAACGAAGCCTTAAAGGCTTATGCTCGCTACTTATTAAAAAGTTGGAGATGAGGTTAGTGCATTCCTTTAGACTGTATTTCTCGAAAGTTTGTTAAAATGTCAGTTGGGATAGTAGCAGAAAGCCTACTAAGGCTTTACTGACGACAGATTTATCAAATGTAAGCTACCGTGCTGCTAGAAAGCTATGATCTACTTGCCATTACTAAAACTTGGTAGGACAAATCCCATGACTGGAGTGCAGCTATCAATGGCTACAGGCTGTTCAGAAGGGACAGGTGAGGAAAGAGGGACAGAGGGGATGCCTTCTACATCAAGAAATGGATAGGTTGTGAAGAGCTGTCTCTGAAGAATAGCCACGAGCAGGTTGAAAGCTTATCGGTAAGAATTAGAGACCGAGACAACTAATTGAACCTTGTGGTTGTATTACATAGGTTGCCCAATCCAGGTAAGCCTATTGACAAAGCCTTCTCACTCAAGCTACAGGAAGCATTGCACTCACAGGCTCTTGACCGGCTGGGGCACTTGGACCACCCTGACATCTGCTGGAAAAGTAGCACAGCGAGCTGTAGGCAATCCAGGAGACTCCTGGAGCACAGGCAGCATAACTTCTTAGGCCAGCTAATAGACAGCCCTACCACAGCGGATGCAATACTGGACCTGTTGGTCACCAACACAAGTGAGCTCATTGGTGACAGTAAGATTGGAGGCAGCCTGGGCTGCAGTGATCATGCTCTGGTGGAATTCACAGTCCTGAGGGATATGGGGCAGGCAAAGAGTAAAGTCAGGACCCTGAATTTTAGGAAAGCAAAATTCCAGCTCTTCAAGGAGTCAGTCTATAGCACCTCCTGGGAAACTGCCCTCAGGGACAGGGGGGCAGAACAGAGCTGGCAGATCTTTAAGGACACTTTTCATAGTTTCAAGAGCTCAGGAAAAGAAGGCAAGAGGCCTGCATGGCTGAGTTGAGACCTGCTGGTCAAACTAAAGGGCAAGAAGGAAATGCACAGGCAGTGGAAGCAGGGACAACAGGTACCCTGGGAAGAGTACAGGGATGATGCTCCCCAGCTGTGTAGGGATGGGGTCAGGAAGGCCAAGGCGCAGCTGGAGCTGAACTTGGCAAAGGATGCAAAGAATAGTAAGAAGGGCTTCTACAGGTATAGCAGCCTGAAAAGGAAGGTCAAAGAAAGTCAGGACAGGCTGAGAGAGTTGGGGTTTTTCAGCCTGAAGAAGAGAAGGCTCCGGGGAGACCTTATTGCAGCCTTCCAGTACTTAAAGGAGGCTTCTGAGAAAGATGGGGACAGACTTTTTAGCAGGGTCTGTTGCGATAGGACAAGGGGTAACAGTTTTAAACTAAAAGAGAGCAGATTTAGAACAGATATAAGGAAGAACTGTTTCACAATAAGGATGGTGAAACACTGGCACAAGTTGCCCGGAGAGGTGGTAGATGCCCCATCCCTGGAAAAATTCAAGGTCAGGCTGGATGGGGCTCTGAGCAACCTGCTCTAGTTGAAGATGTCCCTGCTCACCACAGGTGGGGTTAGACTAGAAGACCTTTAAAGGCCCCTTCCAACCCAAATTATTCTATGATTCTACGAAATTTGCTGCTTTCCTCTTTCTCCATCAGTGTAATCCTGTGTCCTTCCTTCTCTTAATAGGTACTACTTTTGCTATTTAGATCTCCTCTCTATGCCAATAATCTTTAATATTTCAGAGATTACTTCAGATAATTCTGTAATGTACACCATGTCCTTCTGCCTTTAACAGATCTGACCTATCTATACATTCATTTGTTCTTTTCCCATGTTCCCTGTTCTCCTACTTCCTTGCTAAAATTAATTCCCTTTATTTGTGAAGAAAGAAGCCAGAGACATTAAATATCTCAAATTCGCTCTCAGGAGACTGCAAAAAATCTCTACTTCCTATGTTCAGAATCAGTCACTCCTCTCTGTGTTTTGAGAGGAGATTCACAGTTTCATGAGATATTTTGAGTAGTTAATTATACCATGAACCACAGACTAGCTGACAGCTGCAATTGCTGATTATAAATTGACAGAAGAATGGTAGCACTTTTGGATACCCCTGTTTCACCTGCTGTTAATTTTTTAACAGCAGATCTCATAAAAGCTAGTGTGTGGGCTCCATACCTATAACAGATGCAAACAGTTCTGGAGTGGAGCTCCCTGCTGCCATGAATGTCGCTCCAGCAACATCTTCACTCAAATGTAGTTTCTGGAAGAAAAGCATTGGTAATTTCACCACTGCTACTGTACTTATATTGCACAGTTCTACAGTTGCAAAGACAGAAGCTCTTCATTTTCTGGCCACAGTGCTGTTAAAGGATGAACAGTCACTATGATACAAAATTAGGGAAGGAAAATATACTTTGGGCATGTAAAATGTTTATACCCTAACTCAGTGAAGTGTCAGATAAAATTACCTACTTATATATAACTGAATAGCCAATTGTAGCTTACATGTAGCTGATTAGAGAAAAGCATCTCTGCAGATTCAAAAAGATTGTAAACGTCTCAAATTGTTTTCATTAATTTGCTTCTGGAACTCTAAACACAATCGTTGAAGAATTAAAGGCAATTCTTGTGACTTCTAAGATTTGAAAATAAAAATCCATAAGAGAAAAATATAAGCTCTGTGAAAAAAATCTTACAAACAGCAGGCCTGATTCTGGTTTCTCTTTACAACTGTGTTAATCAAAGTGAGTCTGCTGACTCAGACAAAATTAGTCCAATTAGACACAGAGAGGCCTGTGCACTGTAGACAGATCTATTTTTATGACAGTGTCTCTTAGGCTCTAATAGCATATAGATAACTTTGGAGTTCTCAGACCAGCAGAAGCATGCGTAGCTCCACAAGTGGGCTGCATCAACTTAATGCCGTCTGAAGATCTTCCCCTTGAACTATAAAGAAGGTTTTATGGAGGAGCTTTTTCCTTTTTGAGGGTCTTTAGACTCATCCTTAGTACCTTATTTTTCTTCCAAGGATAGAAAAGTGATTAGTGACAAAAGGACCAGTACAGAAATCCTGTATTTTTCAGGCAGTATGCAACATTTTGAGCAGATGAAACTGGCATGCTACAGAACTTGACAAACATAAACACAAGCCCTTACTGTACAATTCAATCTATTACCAGTCACACTGTTGCTGTTGCAGGAGCTCAAATGTAAGTATGCTATCTGAATTCTTCCTAGCTTTTTTAATGTTCAGCAGAATATGAAACAAGTGGCAAAGATTTTATGAAGTATTAGTGGCAAGTTAATTGGTACAACCCAAATGGTACAACTTAAATATGGTGTATAAGGTGCATGCTGAAGACAGAACATCTGAAAAGGGAAAGAAAAGATCCCTATTGAGTGTGTTACTATTATCCCCCTCCCTTATTCTTCTATTTGTTGTTCTACTGATAAGTGTACATAGCTCTGAGTAACACTAATAGGAATTTAGTACATATATCCATAGGAAAATAGATTTTTTAAGTAGCTACAGGAGTTTTTCAGAAATCGATCACGTACATTTTTGTTAAAAAGAGATGAGATTTTCATTTTGCCTGCAAAAGGGTATTAAAATCTTGGTTTGTATTTTGTATTAATTTTGTAGCAGTTCAAAAAGCCTTGCTTACCTAACACATTTACATGCCAAGTATAAATTCTACCCTGTCCCAATCAACTCACTTAATTAGAATCCTACATGTAATTTTGCAAAACCTTCTCACCAACTATATAAAGGAATTACATTTATTTACTATTTTTTGCACATAAAAGATGTATTTTCATTTCACATCAAACCAAGGTACATACTTTTCCCATGCATTCTCCCTTTTCTCCACTTTATGCTAGGACTGCATATGCTTGCTTTCTACTTGCTGATACAGTGGTAGATGTGCAATAAAATTTGCATAGCCAACACATTAATTTGTCTATGTATGATTTCTTTTCACAGTGACTTTTAAAACTAGGAGTACAATAATAAACCCAACTCATCCATATGTCATATTGATCCTAGCTACATGCTTCAGGCATTTAAGGGTGGGTTTTGCCATCTGATTTCATTAAATCTTTCATTTTTGATCCTTGAGTGTGGCCAGGGAGACCAATGTGCACAGATCACAGGTTCATTTTTTGATGGAAAGCTCAAATCATTTAAAAAAAACTGGGGCCAAAAAGTTGACAGGAATAAACGCCAAACAATGATGGCACAAAATGTTTGATTCTTTAATATTCTCTAAACAGATTTCCAAAAGAGGAATAAAGTTCTTTAACATACCTCACAAATTTTCTCTAAGGATGGAACAAAGAAGTCATCGCATACTATAGCCAAAGCATAGAACATATAAAGAGCCTGTAAAGAAAATTAATTCAGGAAATATTTCAGATTTTTCCTGTACATGAAAAAAGAAAAGAAGGCAATGCTGTATTTATTCAGACTAGCTGAAATACATAGCTTCATTTTTTATTCCATTCCAAATAAAAATCCAACTGCTGATCAATTTATGGCATAAAAACAGATTCTTGAATGTAAGTTTAAGTTTAGAACAAGAATGTTTGCCAGACCCTAGAATATGAAAGGTACCACAGTTTGACAGAATAGGGTGCCACAACAGACCTCATATAAAGAAAAGTAACGGGTAAGGCTTACAAAGTCACCTAATCGTCGTCTATATTTTCAATTAATTATCAGACCAAATAATTAAATAGGAAGTAACACCATGTCGATTAACAATACTCAAGAAAACATCACACTTGGAAATAAGCAGACCTTCACCATGGCTCACTGCACCAAGCCTCTTAGGAATGATCCTAGTTCCCTTATACATGCTATTCTCCCACTCTCTTATGTGGCTTTATGTGCTGTGCTCAAGCAGTGGGCCTAATCCTGCTGTTGTCCATCAGACACAACTTTTTACTTTAGTTTCCCTGAGCTGGGAATGGAAAACTGGAGCCCACAAGCCTTACTTGTTTCATTTTTTCTACAATAAAACATAAAACTCCACATGACATTTTCTGTATTTCTTCAGGGTGGTTTGGGGTTTTTTTAATTACAATTGCATCTTTCACATAAAGATACAATAGAAAAGAAAGAAAATCAAGAATCTTCCACATCATGCTTGGTGTCATCAACAAAGCAACCCCAAACCCTGTTTATACTAGACAGAATTTTATCTCCAAGTGGATGAATGCATAGGCGCTGTGCAAATTCAGACTTGCATAATTTTCTTAAATAAATCATAGATTCATAGAATCATTTAGGTTGGAAAGGACCATTATGATCACCAAGGTGAACTGTTAACCTAACACTACCAAGTCCACCACTAAACCATGTCCCTAAGATGTTACCTTTTGAGCATTTGTACCCATATAGACATATTAGAAATACTGAAATCAAAGTATTAGAAACATGTGAATATATACAGAGCTCTATTTAGTAAAGTCACTAAGATGATTAACGTCTTACTAGACAAATAAAAGGAAAAAAAAATGAAGCATAGTAGAGGAAAACTTACAGCAATTATATGAAGCAGAACTCCTCCTTGCTGCCTTTCTTTATTTGTAAATACATCTTCAGGAAATTCATTAATGGCTGAAAGAGAAATATACTTTTGTTTTTTAATTTTACAGCATCTATAAACAACGACTCAAAAATAAGGATGCATCTGTAGAAATATATGACCAAACATGAGTGTATCTTCCAATTTATTACATTATAGATTGTCACTTCAGAATGTCTTTTCTGCTCTGTAGAAAAAAAGAGATAACTGATACTTAGGTGTTATTAATTATCATTATTCCAGTGACTTAAACCAACCTCCAGTGTACTAAGAGTTTCACATTCTTAATGCTTTATTTTTATTATCGTCTCCTCTGTGTCTCCTCTAAATGTACTTCCAAAGTGATAGGCACAGGCACAAAAATTCATCCTGAAATAATATTTCGGGCTTTAAGAGTGCCTCGCCTGAAAAGTTATGCAATGGTTGTAACCTTCCATCAGGTTCTTAACTACAAACTTTTATAGAGCTCCACAGTCTTGCAAATAGTTTCACAAAGATTAAAGTGATTCCAAATACTTTCTCCAGAAAGTCTACTATCTAAATCTGGCAAAGCAAGGAGCAAGACTAAAATGGTAGGTGGACGATAGGAATGTGCAAAGACATGAGTTTTGGGATTATTTCTCGGTGACAGTGAAGTTATGTGGAGCTTCGTTAAAGGATCTGTGTTCCACGCAAAGGCAACAGAGTGATAAAAAGATTCCAGGTGGTGGAGACAAAGACAGCAACTAAATCAAAGGCCTGAAGAAACATATGAGATAAAAAACATCCAGATCGACAAGACAGGCAGGGATTGAGATCTACAGTGCCTCAGACAGGAATCTGTCAAGTTTAAGGGTGAAAATTATTTCAACTGCTGGAATCCAAATGCACTGAACTCATTAAATTATATTCAGAAAGAGATGTTCCTTTCCGCACGGAGTTGTAGATATAGGTTGACAACAAGATAAGTTCCAGAAGGTTCTTATGAACGTACCATAATATACTGAAACTTTGGGAAGGAAACAGAGGAAATATATGATCATCTTCCCCATATTCAGGTCTGCCAGTTTGAAGAAATGCTTAAGAGCACAATATATGATACCTATGCTGTTCCATTTTCAATGTCAAAGGCACATTTTCTCAATTTCTCGATATAATTCTGCAAACGATAACTATGAACATAGAAACCAAGAATTCGAGGTATGGTTGATGCTTTTAGCTACTAAACTTCAAACACTCTAAGCTACCCTTATTTTCAGGAGATGTTGCACTGTAATTCTTTGAAGATTACACTTTTTACAGTATCTTAAATTTGAGTTACTTGTAATCACCAAGCACTTAAAAATCTTAGCTGGAGTAAGAGGATAATCTAGTTTTAAAGACCTGAATGACTTCCCATCTCCTCAATCTTTGAGTTCTATATAAATACAAAAATGCCTATTCTCATCTATACTACACACATCTACATATGTTGCATATGTCTAGCTTGACAAAGACTTGAACAGTGTCTCCATGCAAAGCTGAAGATCCCATAGCTCTGTTTTTTCCATAGGGCCCACTACCATAAATGTATTACTTTTGAATTAATACATTGTCACAGAATCACAGAATCACAGAAACACTAGGTTGGAAAGGACCTTCAAGATCATCAAGTCCAACCATTAATCCAGCGCCACCATGTCCCCTAAACCATGTCCTGAAGCACCACATCCACACGTTTCTTGAACACTTCCAGAGATGGCGACTCCACCACCTCCCTGGGCAGCCTGTTCCTTGGTGTAAATGCACCTTGTCAGCAGGCAGTGTTTAAAACCTCATATACCTAAATCATATCTTCCTTCCAAAAGTCAGTGTCACTATTTTATGAAATCTCTCTAAATCCTCCAACATAATATTTAAAAGCCACTATAGTTTTTTTTAAAACTACTAATGGTCTATAAAATAAAAGTTCATCAACAATGACCGACTGCAATTCCGTTACTGACTTTCAGTAGACTTTTCAGTAAGGCCTGTTCTTATGTTGTATTCTAACTGGAACCAATATCAACACTCGGTATGTTGAATAGAGCTTTCCCAAGATATAGGCGCATCTTTTCTTTTAAATCTCAGGCAACAAAAGCTATATACAGCTATATGAAATTTTGCTTAGCCACCCCTGAATGTGATTTCCTACTCCTAGGTAAATGTTCTGTTCCTGGTCCTCCTTCTGTAATCACCAGGAGAAATGAAAGCCGTAGTGGATAGAAATATACAAATGCATCAGCACAATAGCACAGTAATATCCAGTCACTCATGGAATTATGGAATACCATTCAAGGGTATGCAGAGTACTTCAGTGACTAAAGACCATCAGCACACCACTGTTTAGCAGGACTAGCTTCAAGAAAGTGGGTCTGGGTTGCTATAGAACTCCAGTCTTCAAGGGCCGTGATTTGCACTGTAAAGACATTTGTGACCCTGTGAAACAGCCTGGGGAAATAGCATTGCTATACAAATGCAAACCACACCGTAAATAAAAGGCATTCGTCTATGGAGCCAAACAGATTCAAGTATGTCTAAAATCAAAATATGTGAATAAAACATCTTCCTTTCTGTTTCGTTTTCATCATTGTGACCCTCCTACAAGGAAAAGTATACTGGAAGTACACAGAAACAGAGAGAAAACTGGCTGCATTGCAGTTCTGAGACACTCTGTATTTAGAGTTGACATTCTTACTCTTCTACTGGAAGACAGTGCAGCATAATCCACAAACTATTGGTCAAGATGCAGCAATCTGCAATGCTTTTATCTACAGATAGACCTTTTAAGATGCCAACAGAAGCTTATATGCACGTAACAGCCAAGCAGGTTCCTTGTAGTAATATACTGCTATATATAGTAATATGTAATACAGTAAAATACAGTAATATTGTTCCCCCCGTGCAATCAGGGAGGAATACCCCTTCTGGAATAATATTGGAATACCATCAAATTTAAGAATTTCTTATCAGCTACATTAGCTGCCAAAAGCAAAATTTCTCAGAGGAGCTATTCCTTACTACATGAAATTATGGCAAAAAATTAATCAACAGCCAAAGCATGTGTTTTTAAACAAATTCTCCCCATTGACAATTAATAGTAACTAAAATAATTAATAACCGAAAACTAAAAAAGCGTTAAGGGGACTTCTCCTTTGGGAGAAAAGACCCAGAGCTACAAATGCTGTCATCTTACGCAATATGGCTGTTCTTGTATCACTGGCTAAAATACCACACCCACATGGATTCAGGACGTGTGTATTATTTTTCTCATCGCATCCCCCATTTGTCCTCTGTCTCCTCCATTCAAGCAGTGGCTGTGAGAATACACATATCCCAGCAATGCACTAGGACAGCAGAGACCGGAGCCCCGGCCTGAGTCTCTAGCTGTGATAACATGACCCTGCACGTGGGGTACATCCTTTCACGTAATCTGATGCAAAGGTTTGCAGCTCCCATCAAAGGTGCTTGTGCCAGGGGCACCATCCCCCTTACTGCCACCGTATAGGTGTACATGTCCCTGTCCCATAACTTGGCAAAATGGATGCATCATCTGGGAAGCTATTACCTACCTGGTAATCTCATTCAGTTGACTGTAAAGTATTTCACAGTAAAACATTAAAAATGGTTAAGTCAGTATAAACAGAAGTTTCTAGAAGCATGAATAAAAATCACTATCTTTCTACTTATTCTAATATAACTTTACTTATCCAAAGTTAATACTAAATAGGAAATTGGAAGACCAGAAGATATCAAAGGTAAAAGCCAGAAGACAGAAATTACCTCAGGCATGTGGCCACAAAGCAAAAGCAAACCAGCTTCACTGCAAACCATCTTGCTTCATATACAGTCTGGTGATATAGCTATTCGTAATAAATAGCTACTTGTAATAAGTATCTGCTTGCCTCACAGAGGTAATTTTAAAGAGTTAACATGAAGACAGCTTTTTCTCACAGATACTGCTCCTCCCTACACAGAACTCATGGCATGCAATTGTTCTTACATAGGGACACTACAAAATCTTTAAATGTCAGGGAAACGAAGCAAGGCTCTGGAACTTGGTAAGTAAGATTTCTTCCTTAATGAAATGACCACCTGCCAGTAAGCTCCAACGTGAAGTCTGGAGTTTTTCAGTGTAAGCATTTGCTGTCTTTATGGCTTTATTATCCAGACAATCACAGGTTTTGTATAATTGTCATCTATAAATTCTGTATACCTTGTCTACATGCACTGTTCTTTATTTACTTGCTGTATCGTGGTTTCAATATTTTAAACAAAGATTTGGTTTTCTCACCTACTGCTATGATAACCTGGTTGCTCAGGAAAAGGCTGTTTGGATTCCCTTGGCTCCTAGCTTAGGCCTGGGCACCAACAGCACTTAACTGAGGCGGGCAGTGGTATTCCCTCGTCTGTATAAACCGACAGAGGGGACAGGACATTACCATGGAGTTTGAGAGAGCACGGTGGGCCCTCATGGTACGACCTGATGTGTGTGCACAGCAGGGCACCGCTCTACTTCACACAGAGATATTTTCTCATGTATGGGAGTCGGAGCTATCTGGCAGCTCGAGTGGGAGCTACATCTCCTCGGTTCCTACTGAAAAGAGACAGAACAGATGGGAGAAGGAGAAGGAAATGAAGAGCAGTACATCTAATGGGGCTAACCTTTGCCAAAAAAAGGAGGGGAACATACACCAATCATCTTAAAATCAGCTAGAAATACAGAAATATTTATCCTGCTGGTACTGTTGCAAACCCATGGCTCCTGCAGCTCATCTTATCAAGCACGGATTTATTGAGGGGGAAGGGAGGTCACCAAGAAAGCCAAGTCTATATTGGAACTGTCATCATTCCGCAGCTCATTCCCTCTCCCTGATCACGAACCGAGTGGGGAAACAAAAGCAGATTATCCAGCCATGACTTGGAGGAACACCACCACCTTTTTCTTTGAGTGATGGAAACACATTATGCCATGACAGAAAGGATGATTCACCTTTGATATTGAGCTCTGGCTGAGTTGTCTATGGCTAAAGAG